ATACAAATTTGTATACCTGTATTTAAAAATATTTGATATTAATATTTTCATTATAAAACCATTTTATTTTTTATTTTTTAAGTTTTAATATTAAATATCAACTAAATTACAGAAATTAGCTAGAAAATGTTAGCTATCTATATTAGGAAAGACTTTTAGAAAATAACAAAAATTATAAAAACAAATTGTATGATAGAAAAAATGATAAATTATCTTAATTGTGACTTAAAATGAATTTTAATGATAAAACAATTTACTATATTGTGGTAAAAATTCATTATAAGTTAACTGAATCGATAGTAAACGTATATCCCGTGGAATAACCATTGTATGACTTTTTAAGTGAACATAAGGTTTAAATGGCTTGTTGTTGCAGTATATAATTACAACAATTTTCCTCGATCATATTTCAATATACCATAATAATAAATATTGTACTACAGTAGTAATATTTTTCATTTATGAATTATTATCAATTTGAATAATTTATTTTTTATAGTTATTAATTACAACTAAATTTACAATTTTATATTTATGAATATATAAAGAATAGTCAATGAAACTTTAATTAAATTATCAGATAAATGATAAAAAAATTATAAACATCTAAAAAGTTTATTAAGAAATCAATGGGTTATTTGCCAACAAAAATATCACTTATAAATTAAACTCTCATACAGTATATTTATGATTAACATTAAATAAAAACTTTTCAAAATGCAAATTCTGTGAACACAACAAGTTTGTGTTTTATATCCAATAGAATCTATCATTTTTTGAAACCCAGTTTTAAGAATTGATTTATCAAATAGTCCATTAAAAACTTATTGTAAACTATTTATTAACTGCATTCATACGAATTAATATTGATACTATTTATTATCATTTTATTTAATTTTGTTAATAAATGCAAAACTATTTTGAAAAACTCATAAAATGTTGAACGAGATACTATCAAATATAGTAATTAAATTAATAAACTCATTAGTGATCGCCTACACCTACACAACACTACCTCTGTATTACTACAGACAAAAGCCATGGCTTAGGCTGAAGAAGGCAAGGGAGGAGAGGGCCCTTCCGGAGAACCCTCTGGACCCGGGCAGCGCCTGGCGTCGCACAGGGAGTACCGATCCGAAAGTGAGTGCACTTGAAGCGGGAACAGTGGATTGTATGCTGGAAACGGCGGCTAAGAATTATGGCAAAAATTATACGATAGTGGGGGTTAAGGTGCACGACGGGGGCAAATATTTTTACGACTGGTTTACGTACGGGGATGTGATTAGACGGGTCGACCACATCGCCAAAGGGCTGAAACTGGTGGGCGTCGGGGCCGGCGATAAAGTGCTCATATTTGCCGAAACACGACTCGAATGGATATTATGTGCGTTCGCTGTCTTCAAATTGGGTGGTATTGTGACCACACTTTTCGCACAGTTAGGTCTCGACGGTATTGTCCACGGAATCAATCAGGTATTGCACACTATATTCACTAATATTTTTCATACATATTACTATTATTTAAGCAGAATATTAATTACTAATCTTAACAAAATTAGAAATAAAAATTAATTTTGAAGTATTGATTTAGTATAATTAATTAATTCATAGTTTATATTAATAGCAATATTGAGCGAAATTTGTTAGCAATAAAAACTAAATAAATACAAATTAGCTCAAATTAATTATAAAATTTTTAATTTACAAAATGTAGACTCAAGTGAAGTATGCGATCACAACCAAACAACAACTCATAAAACTGCGGTCAGTGTTGTCTCAAACACCAAGCATTCAGAAGATCATAGATATGGACGGGCAGTCTATGGGCGACGGAACCGTTGATATCATGTCTTTAAAACAAGTGGAAATGAATGGCAAGAAATCTGATATTAAACTCTCGGA